ATTTCTGTTTTGGAAGAACATCAAGGAAACGTTTCTCCGTGTCCGAGCAGCCAGGAAATGGAAGCAGCTGCCTGAGGGGGGCCCGGCCTGTCCTTCACTGGAGCTCTTCTGGCAGGGAATGGGGAGCCCCATGGGCATCAGGGACTCCGGCCTTGAATAGGGGGTTGGACTCCATGGCCGAAATGCCACCTTCCAGCTCCATGATCCTCTAAAGAAAACCTTGTCAAATATAAACGACGTCAGGGATTACGCTCATTTGAAGGGCATTTACCCTGCCCCATCAGCTGAACCCTATAGACACCCATTTGCCAATGTCCCTGGACAGCCCTTGAGTCAACTTGCAGAAATTTAACATGCTTATTGTGATAGGTCCCTTGGGACAAGAACTTCCGGACAAGTCGTGAATTCAGCACAGAACAGCCATAATGCCAGTCCTGATTATTATGAAGGGCTGCTGGGAAGATCTGGGGAGCGGCCGTGCCCAACCCTTTCACCCACCGCCTCAATGCCCCCCGGGGCACCCCGACTGCTCCATGCAGCTCTGGGGCTGATGGGCCAGGCAGTGCTGCACAAATGGTGTCCTGTGAACATTGCTAAGGCTGTGGGTGTGGAGGGCACATTTTCCCCCGGGAAGGTGGCAAACAGGGCCTCCCTCCCTCCCTCCCTCCCTCCAGCAGTGCTGCCTGCAGGACACGCCACCGCAGGATCTGGCCTGGCAGCATCCTGCATTCAGGAAGCCCAAGGAAGCCCTCTTGCCTCCTGCAGACACCAAAACATGGGCTGTGGGGCGTCCGTTTGGTGCCCCTCGTTTGCAATCCCTTTCCCCACCCTTCACACAAGCCGCCTTGACCTGTCCTCTTATTTCACCATCTGAGCACGGTTCATAGCGCTGGTGATGACGGAGAACCCCCAGACATTTAGGGGCCAGAGCGCGCCAAGGAGCAGACACGCCCATCTGAACCTTAGATGCCCCGTGCTGGTAGCCCTCTGCAGCTCCTTCCGCTCACCGAAATTCCAGCGATGGGCGAAGACGGGACCTTCTCTGTCGCGGCACTCTGTTGCAGAACTCCTCACGCAGAGGGGCTTGCCTAGCAGCCCACCTTTATCCTATTCTATGTTCAAAGTGAACTTTTTTTAGTTTGCTCAAGACTTTTATCCCTTTGCTTGCTGATTGATGTAGGATGTTTAATGGTTCACCCGATTTGTTTCTGCTGTTTGTGTTAAGTGCCGTTCGCATCAACTAATTCTAATTTATTTCTGACATTTTCCATCATACGACGCTTGGTGTCCTGAGAGCTACGGCTGGAAAGACCGACTATGCCGGACCTCTGGGGATGGCGGAGGAAGAGGGAACGAGCCGGGAGACCATCAGTCCAAGCCACGAGGCCCGGAACCCAGCCTGGCAACCAGAGCCCGTGACCTGGAGCCCTGGAAGCGGAGCCCCGAGCGAGACCCCTGGAAACAGCGTTTCTTGAGCAGTATCTCCCTGTGGAACCGGCCCCTTTCTCCCAGCGGGGACCAGGCAGCAGATGGCTGAGACTTGATGGACTAGCGTGTGCCCTTGGGGGCCCTTGACTGCTGGGAAGGTGGGCAGCATTTATGGAGAGAACAGATTAAAGTCATGAGACAACAATTCTGGTGTTTCACATTATTTATTTACCAGAGAATGTACTTATTATTTTACTTATTACTACTATTAAATAATAAAGTGTATTATTTATGCTTAATTCTGAGTTATCCCTAAAGGAAGCGAGAGGGATGGTGAATAGAAGAAGGGCCTTCTCGGTGGCTGCCCCCCACCTTTGGAAGGGGCTTCCTAGAGGGATCTGCCAGGCGCCATCGCTACTTTCATTTTAGCACCAGGCGAAGACTGTCCTTTACATCGGACTTTTTGGAACCTTAATTTATTAACTGTCTGTGTTAAGATATCATGCAGTACTAGCAGTTTGGCTTGTTAAAAATGTTACTACGAATTGTATGTCTCATATTTTATTGCTGTATGCTGCTTAAAGAGCCCTGTTGGGTTCTTCAGCTGCCTATAAATTTATAAATAAATAAAGGAATGAATGGATGGATGAGTAGAACGGTGCTCATTTATTTCTGTTTCGCTGCAAGAACATTTCAATATAAAGACTTTCATTATGGAGGGAGGGGATTCACATACCAAGCACCACCCAGGGAAAGTCAAGGCAGGGGGAGTGACGGATCTGTCCTTGGCAGGCCATCCCGCAGCTGAGGGGCAGCCACTGAGAAGCTCTTCAGATGGTGGACCTTCACCTGAATAAGCAAAGTGCAAAATTCTATCCGCAGAGGACCTTAGCAGAATATCTGGGCAAAGGCGCTCATGAGAGTAGCATGAATCAGGTCTTGTAAAGTAATTACCCTTACCTTGTACTGCATCTGGAAACCTCCTGTCAGGCAGTACAGATACATTTTTAAAAATAAAATGTTAGTAGCATTAGTAAGGACAGAGGTTAGTAGCAAAGCATCCACACACAACAATGACACAATTTCTGCACCCCTGTCAGGAGCACCTTTTCATGCAGAGCTGTTTTTGAGCAGCAGCAAGCCCATATCTCACTCTCACAGATGCCACCTTTCTGGTGCCAGGTTAAATACCCGATAAGCAGCTGCATGGCCAGAATGCAACTCTCCGTGGAGGATTGTGTGGAGCGCTCTTGCTGTGCTGCCTCGTCTTCTTGAATTCCACGCCAACAGTGAGAATTTTAATCTAAGCCAGGAACAAGTGGGCTTCGGCTGATTTTTAATAGGATGCAGTGCTTGTTTGCTTTTGCAGGATTCACCTATGTGTAAACCTGCTTGGAATTAAACCATTCCATTTTCATTCATTTTTATTTCAGCAGCCAATGCTCTTTGGGTTGTTTAGAAAGATTAAAAGGTAAAGGTAAAGGTTTCCCCTTGACATTATGTCCAGTCATGCCTGAGTCTAGTGGGTGGTGCTGATCTCCGTTTCCTAGCCGAGGGAGCCAGTGTTTGTCTGCAGACAGTCTCCATGGTCATGTGGCCGGCAAGACTAAACACCGAGGTGCATGGAACGCTGTTACCTGTCCACCGAAGTGGTAGCTTTTCATCTACTTGCATTTGCATGCTTTCGAACTGCAAGGTTGGCAGGAGCTGGGACGGAGCAACGGGAACTCACCCCGTTGTGCAGATTCAAACCGGTGACCTTTTGATCTACCAGCCCAGCAGCACAGTGGTTTAAACCAATGAGCCACCTGCAGTCCCTTAGAAAGATTACGAACCTTTAAAATACAATATTGTACATAATAAGAGGTACATGTAAGCAGACAAGACCCAAACATCTACATAATTTTAACAACAATATGACATCCCAGAGCCCAATGAAAAATCTGCAAATATGCTGCCAAATAGCTGACAACAGAAGCAGGCCTGAAGAGATCCCGGTTTGGACCCTGTGGGCCTCACCAAGGAGATCATTCTACTAAAATTGGGGGACCACCACTGAGAAGGTGACCTCCTTCCAAATCTTCCTTTGCGGACTTATTCGGATGCAGCCTTTCAGTGGTGATGGCAATATATGGTAGGGCTGGTCGGACTCTTCAGCCGAATAGCCACAGCCAGTAAATGTCCTGTGTTTGGAAGCTGCAAGCAGGCGCCGGTGGGTGACCACAGAACAGCAAGCTGCAACCTAAACTCAATGGGCTGCGTGTGGCTTTCGAGAGTCAGTTTGGCCACCCCGGTACATGGGCAGGTTCATGCTGCGAGAGGCACTGTCTACTGTGGTCTCAAGCCCCATGTAGGTCAGAATCAACACCTTGAATCCAGCTTAGGAATGACTCCTGGCACAGGGAGCAGAAGTGGGAGGATGTTAAAATCTTCCTACGAGGTAGAAGTTTGCTTCCTCTAAAAGAACAAGGCCTCAAAGTTTAACTCTGTATGATTCTCGTCACCCCGTTATGCTAAGGGAGAATCTTATGCATGTTCCAACAGAAGAAAATGTCCTACAACTCCCAGCATTCCCTGGCCAACTATGCAGACTTTTTTCCCCACTCTAAACTTGCATAGGATTGCCTCTTAAGAGGCCTAATGGCTGTGAGAAGAAACTTTTGGGGGGCAGGTGTCACTCAGTAGACAAGCCCTGCAGAGAGCCCCCTCAATTCCCACCAGAGAATTTGGCTACTGAAACAAAACTTGAATCAGCTCCAATTGCTTCCTGGTGGAAGTGGGAACAAGGAAGGGAATCGGAATGAAGGGGAAAAATCTCAGATTTTAAATGATTCCAAAGCCCATCTACAGAAGAGGAAATTTTGTGAAGCTAGCATCCTGGCCCCCTCTCGCCATTTTCGGCAAGAACCCCCAGCTAGCATGGCCCATAGTCAGGGATTCTGGCAATCTTCGAGGCTTAACCTGCCCCACAGCAGGGCTGATTTACAGGAGGGAATGCTGGGAGTTGTAGTCCAAACCTCTGGATGGAGCAAACTTGCCTATCTCAGAGTTATGTGGTCCTGATCTTAAGGCGGTTTTTTCCTCAAGGCTCAATGGAAGATCCGGAGCCAGCCCTGCCCTGGCCGGGGGCTTTAGGTTGAAATTTTTTTATTTAAATAAAACCATACTGGCTTTAGGGGCCGAGGCAGTGCTCAGGGGACAAAAAGATGCAGGACTCAAGACCCCCGGCCCCAAACTAGACACAAAAATGTGCATGCACGCTCGACTTTGCACATGCTCCACAGTGCAGTGGGGTCCCGAGATGGTCGGGATCCGCCGCCGCCGGATGCTCTCAAGTGGGGGTGCAGCGCAGGGACCCCGCGCCTTCAGTGGGACAGAGGACCCGCCAGCGACTGCGGGCTCCAGCCCTAGCGGGACGTGCCCCACGACCGCCCCCCTGCGAGGCGTCCCTGTGCACGCGGGAGTGCACGTGTGTGCGCGCGCACGCGTGTTCTGCGGGGGCGGAGCCGGCGGACGGCCTCCTCGGCCTTTGCAGCTCCGCCATTACAGCGGCGGCGGAGCGCAGAGGAGAGCGGAGAGGCGCGGGGTCGGTGGGTGGGATCCGGGCTTTGCCTTCCTTTTGTCCCTTGTGCAGCCGGCCGGCAGGAAGGGGTCGTGAGGACACGCAGGCGTGCTGGGCTTCGTCCTCCTCGGCCCGTCGGACTCGAGTCGCGCTGAGCTGCGCTGAAAAAGTGAGTTGAACGGCTCTTTTGGGGAGGGGGTCTTTTTCCTGTTTCCCTCCCCTCCTTCAGTGCGTATTTATTTCCGCCAGCCGAGCTTCCCCGAGCCCTGCCTCGCCTGGGGACCGAAGCGAGCCAGGGCGGGCTTAGGCTGGGTCCGCGGGAGACACGGGGACGCCGGCTTGCGGGTCTGCCGGGGCTGGGCTTGCCGTGCCGTCCGTGCACCTTTAGTTGCGGCTTCCCGGGCAAATCTTAGTCACTGCTGTTGATGAGGAACCGCTTAGAGGTTTCCTTGGCATGCAGGTGTTGCTAGTAACGAACCTGCACCAACAAAGCTCCCCCTTTTTATTTTTTTAGCTTGCAAAGGAGGCATCCCTTAAAGGCATGGCGGGTACGGCCTTAAAGGCATGCCGTGTCCTCTGTCCCCTGCTTGTTTTCCCGACTTGCTCCTTTTAGAGAGAGGTTTTGCTAATGCTGAGATCAGGGCATGATGTTTGGCCTTCAGCACTAGCCAACAGCAGAGGATCGTGGAAACTGTATGTCAGAACATCTGGAAGTGTCATGAGACTGTTGCTACCCTGCAGGGTTGTTGTGCACGTAAAATTGTGGGAGGGCAAAGGTGGGCTAGCTAATACCCTGGAAGACAGAAGGAAGATTCAAGGTGATTTTGATAGATTGGAGTGCTGGGCTGAAAGCAGCAGAATGAAATCCAGTAGGACAAAGGCCAGGTTCTGCACCTGGAAAAAAAGAAACTGGATGCATCAGTACAAGATGAGGAGCATTTGGCTCAGCAGTAATGCAAGTGAGAAGGATCCTGGAATTGTTCTTGATTACAAGCTGATTACGAGCCAACAATGTGATGTGGCTGCAAAAAGGGCAAATACTATTTTAGGCTGCATTAATAGAAGGATCACTTCCAAATCCCGTGAAGCACTAGTTCCCCTTTACTCAGCACCGGTAGGCCTCATCCGGAGTCCTGTGACCAGTTCTGGGCACCACGGTTTAAGAAAGGCACAGACAAGCTGGACAGGGCTTAGAGGGGGGCAACAAGGGTGATCCAGAGACTGGAGACAAAGTCCTGTGAGGAGAGATTGAAAGAACTGGGCATGTTTAGCCTGAAGCAGAGAAGACTGAGAGGAGATAAGATGGCACTTGTGAAGTACTTGAAAGGCTGTCACAGAGAGAAGGACCAGGATCTCTTCTCATTCATTCCAGAGTGCAGGGCATGGAATACAAGGCTCAAGTTACAGGAAGGCCGATTCTGGCTAGATATCAGGAAAAATTTCCTGACTGTTAGAGAAAAGGAAGCCATGACCTGGGGAGGTGGTGGGCTCTCCCACACTGGAGGCATCCAAGATGCCACTGGACAGCCATCTAAGAGGGATGGTTTAACTGGGAGTCCTGCACTGAGCGGAAGTTGGACCCAATCGCCCTCTGGCTCCATCTAACTCTACCAGTCTGTGGTTCTATGATTTTATGGTTGTCAGCAACCTTTCCCTTCCTTGCCTTTAGTTTTCAGTGTGTGGTGATAATGCTCATCACAGATACAGACAACAACAAGAAATATAGTTTGACCATAAGGAACATTCCAAACTCCATTACTAAGAAAATTACTTTTGCTTAGCCCTGACAAAGGACCAAGAGTTCTTGAAAGCATGCACATTTTTGCTGCTATTTTGGGTTGGCCTGGTTATTATGGATTTTGTAATAATGGGCATTCCATTTTGCCCTTCTCATCCAGGAGAAATTTGCAGGGCAGCCTTTCATGGTTCATTTAAATATATATATATATATCCACAAGTTTGGCAATGTTATGGCATGACCTGTTGCTCCTCATCCTCTTGGAGGTGGCGGACATGTGGCCATCTAGTTTGAGGTAATGGCAGCTTTTTCTTTTGCTTGCAGGAAATTAAAGAACTGTAGTACAGACAGTGTCACACAAATTGTCTGGTGCTTTGTATGTGTTCTCCACCTGGAGAGTTTTGTGCCCTCGCTGGGCTGGGCACCTGCTCTTGTTTTTCCAGCTTGACCTGCTTGGTGGACAGAGGGCTGAGGTAGGAGGCTGCGGCATCTAACCACCTCCGTTGCGTGGACCGCAGCAATCAGGTTGCCGTGGTGAAGAGGCAGTGGGACTCCAGCAGGTACTTGTCAGTGTGGGTGTGGGCCCTCTACAAGTGCCTGACCGTATCTACCCTTGGTTCCAGTCCTCTCTCCCGTACTGTGATATGGATGCTCACTAACAATCCGATAAAAAGACGTGTGAACATTATCATGCACCTCCAAGTTGAGGCCGCATCCTCAGTATAGTTAACTGGGAAATAAGCTCCTTTTTTCTGGTGCTCCTATTATATTTTACTGTATTGTTTTATGGGCTGTTGTAAACCACTCAGAGAGCTTCATAGACTCATAGAAGAGTAGAGTTGGAAGGGGCCATGAAGGCCATCGGGTCCACCCCCCTGCTGGTGCAGGACACCAGGCTGCACCACCCCACACAGATGGCTGCCCAGTTTCACCTTGAATGCCTCTAGTGTGGGAGAGCCCCCCACCTCTCCAGGCAGCTGGTTCCACTGTTGTATTGCTCTGACAGCGAGGAAACTTTTCCTACTGTCAAGCCTGAATCTGGGTTGTCACAGCTTGAGCTGATTATTCTGTGTCCTACACTACCAGCAAAAAGAGACCTTGACCTTCCTTTTTGTGACAGCCTTTGAGGTACCTCTAGAGGGATATCATGTCCCCCCTCAGTCTTCTCTTCTCAAAGCTGAGCATGCCCAGTTCTCTCAACCTTTCCTAACAGGACAGTGTTTCCAGACCCAGGATCACTCTGGGTCTGCTTTCCTCTGCACCCTTTCCAGTTTCTCTGCATCTTTCTTAAATTCTTGGGCCCAGATCTGGACACAGATGTGGTCTGATTAGTGAGGAATATAGGGAACTACTACTTCTCATGATTTGGAATACTTCTGTTAATGTATCCCAAAATAGCGTTTCTCCTTTTGGCAGCTGCATCATATTTTGGCTCATATTTAGCCAAAATATGATGTCCACAATTACTCTGAGATCTTTTTCGATTCTGTTGAGCCACGTAGTCCGCATCTTGTATCGATGCCTTTGGTTCCTTTTTCCTAGGTGGAGGAGTTGGCACTTGTCCTTATTGAATATCATTCTGTTGCTTTCAGGCCAGTGTTCAAGTTTATCAAGATCACCCTGGATCTTTATTCTGTCTTCTAGGGTGATTGCTGTTCCGCTCAGTTTTGTATCATCTGCGAATTTGATTATTTTTCCTTGTACTTCCTCATCTAAATCATTAATAAGGATGTTGAGGAGCACTGGGCCCAGGACTGAACCCTCTGGCACCCCACTAGTTACTTCCCTCCAATTTGAGAAGGTGCCATTGATGAGCACTCTTTGTGTCCGATTCAGCAGCCAATCTTGGATCCACCTTATAGTTTTTCTATGTAGTTAAGTTTCTTATAAGAATGTCATAGATCACTATAGCTTCAGCTACGGGGGAAATATAGAAATGAAATAAATAATAATAATTTGCTTCTGAGAAAACGTAACTAGGATGGCACTATAATTTGGTTTTCCAGTGCTGTTATATTTTTTTGGGGGGTGATTATCATAAGAGATGGATGTCGCTACTTTTCTAGAAACTGTTAATTGAACTGACTGCAGTTATAGAAGACCTCAGTTCGGAAGGCTTAGTACATGAAAATGTGGTTTCAGTATGAAATAAAGGTTCCCTCTACTTCATCCACCCATTTTTTGATTCTAACAAAAAGAGAGGACACGTCTAAACTGCTTGGAACCCAAGTATCTGCACTAGCATTCTCCCTATATTGACCTGCCAAGACTTAAGAGCAGGGGTCCTCAAACTTTTTCAACAGGGGGCCAGTGGACAGGTGCCAGCGGTGGGCATGAGCTGCCAAGCCGGTGCCGGGGGGGGGGCCCCGGGGGGGGGGGGGGGGGGGGCGCACGCACGCAAGGCAAGTCAGGGACGGGGGGGGGCGCACGAGGCGAGCCGCCGGTTTTCTCGCAAGGAGATCGTTTTCTCTGAGCAAGTCCAAAACATTCTCCCTGTGAGCAAGCTGCCACTGGGCGCACGCATGGCAAGGCGCCGGCTTGCTCAAGAGGAGATCGTTTTCTCCGAACAAGTCCAAAATGACCTCCTCCCGAGCAAGCCACATGCCCGCGAGTGCCCGCTGCATGCCCAGCGAGTACAAAACCTGTGGGGCGGGTCAGTTAAATGGGCATGGCAAGCCGGATTCGGCCCACGGGCCTTAGTTTGAGGACCCATGCTTAAGAGCATCATTTCTAAGGACCACATGAGCCGATTATACGACAAGGGAGAGAGCTTTCTCAGCAATGGAAAACCATGGATATGACTGGCACCGACATTACAATTGTTTGCGTTTTTCAGCTCTGTTGTTTAACTGACTCATGTGCTGTGTGTGTGTATCTGTCCCGCTGTGTTTGCTGTCTTCTCTGCTTTTCTTGTATCGAAGTGATTTTAGTGTTGCCTTTGTGTTGTGTGTGAGCTTAAGTACATTCATATGAAGTGTTGTGTGGTATTTGCAAGAATGAAGTCTTGTAGATCAGACTGAGCAGGGGAAGAAGATAGACTGATTTCTGGTCGGTTGTCAGGCCTGTCCTTATCTTGGCTAGAAAAGACACCGCACCGTAATGTTATAGCCAGGGGATCTTTGCATCTTGGCTCTGCAGTGGTTGGTTTGCTCAGGATATAGACTAAGAATGTATGAGGGAGCCATGCAGGATCAGACCTTGAGGTGTTCTGATCACACAATGGCCAGGCAGCAGCCTGTGGTAACCAGAAGTAGGACACTCCACAGTAGCAGCTTCTTCTTGTTTGTGATCCGGTCTTACATGCTAGCTGGCCTACAGCCATCAGGACAAGTGGCCATTGAATCTGCTCATTCCCCTCTTCAAAGCATGGTGGTTACCAGTCTGAATTGTGGGAATGAATTCCATAGTTGGTCTGTACGAGGGGTCAGCAA